GGCTGTAACATTTGATGTGTTTATCTGTGTGCTGGATTCCTTTACTCACAGTATCATTTCTTTCTGTAGTGAATATTCCTCTCAGTATCTAAGCACATTCGCTGCAGCCATCTTTTACACGTCTTACTGGACTGATGGACTCATCTTACTTATGCAGAATAGAGAGTTCAGGAAGGTTCTCCACGGAACAGTATATATTGGATTCCACACACTGAGAAAGAGATGTAACTGTTGCCATAGCCAGTAATCTATGACAGTGTTGTATTCCAGTCCATCACAAGTCCTTCTTTACAAGTGCCTTAACAAGTCCAGTCACAAGTCCCTTCACAAGGCCAGTCATGAGTAACAAGGACAACAGTGACAAAGGAATGCTTCTGTCACAGCTCCTATGAAAAGCTTATAAATTGGCTTAAGACTGAATGACTTGTGATGAACTTACAGGGACTTGTGATGGATTCGAATACAGCACTGATCTATTATATAACAAACCACTTCAAATGGAGTGTTGAGCAGGTACATTGCAATCCAGAAGATCATTTGAACATGTATCAGTTGAATGTGGCTTTGTGTCATATAATGTGCTAACAATGCTACATGTATGTATTCCACTGCATCTTGACTCTAACATGCTATCGGTGTAGGGAATTAACAATGATATCTACATGTAGAGTTTAATCATTTCATCATTCGCTATGGTGGACGTCATGTTTAACTGATATGATTTGCACTTTTCAAATTTCCATTGCTGGGGCATTCAGAATGCTACTTGGCACATAAACATGTTCTGTACATGTATGTACATGTATATCCACACACTATCAAGAACTTCTGTTTTGTACCTGTTCAAAGGCATATTATTCGTATGTGAATAATATAGTAAATCATGTTTGATTTGCGGGCAATGCTGATTCTTTTATAACAATGTTTTGTACATGTAATTCTGATAACTTCTGATTACCAATGGCCGTAATTCAAATATGAACGTGCATGTTGGCTCACAACATGACAAGCTCATTCACGCTTGTCACACCCGTTATGAAACAAGCACCAACTACGATATTTCGCAAGAACTTCGGTCTTGGATTTTCTTCCAACATAGTATACATGGGCTGTTCTGAAAAAAAAAAAGATAACCAGCTTGATAAAATGATGTCTCTGAGAGTGAATTCAACCACGTACCTGCCATGAATCTCACACTGAAGCCTGAATTAGTTGCCCAACTGAGCATGACGGCTAAATGAGTGTTCATACAACGCAGTATTAGACAAAAGTAGCAGTATGACACGTCTTAAGGAACATAGTACATGTATACATGTACAGTAATAGGATCTCTGTCTTGATGATACCGTACTTTGTTCACATGTGTGTTTACCTATGAAGTTCAGTGGACACAAGCCAACAAAAGTGCAAGGGGCATCATCGACGGAGAGGCCCACTGAAGTACGTACATGGGCACTAATCTGAAGCACATGCAGATGAGCGTGTACGCTGGTCTGGGCACACCTGTTCTATTCTGGAAAAACACTGGTTTCTAGCAGTAAAACCAGAAAATGTTACTTAACTCCACACATATTACACTTCTGTGGCTAATCAGAGCTACATGTACATGTAGCTTTTAATGCAGTGTTTTCTTGTGAAAGGTTTACACATTTGGTGCTCAGCAATTTTGAAACCTATTATAAGCCATCGGTGCATGTACAGTAGATTCAGTCTTAGGCTTTAATAAATTATGTAGTGCAGCAAAATAAGATGTGAACAGGAGGTATGATCAGTCCAAATTGCTTGTTGCCGGATGCGTCGGTGTAAATTTATAACCATGCAATTTGTAGTTTGGGGACGTGTACGATCTGTAACTGTCATTTGGCTTATACCATGGACATGTAATTGGCCTTGCTGTAAGTGGTTTGTAAACATTTAGGAAAGCAATGCCTGAATTATCCGTGCAATGACTGACATAGACTTCCGACTGGATTGTCATTTGGTTGCAATATAATTGTATTCCTTTCTACCTTTACGATGTGGATATAAGCAAAGATTTGAATCATGCCTGACATGAATTATCATTCAGGAAAGTTTGGGCACACGGCAAGTGCAGTTCCTGGCCGGTTGAAATTTCAATGTACTAGTTGTTCTACAAGAAAGTTTGTCAATTGAATTGAGTGGAAACAAGCACAAAATTTGCATAAGTGTGAAAAACCTTGCTTAAAAAAAAAAAGGTTACCAGCTCAAACTCTATGAGATTGTCACGCTAACCAAAAGAAAGCTGAATACGATCCCAAAACAGTATACATCACATGGAGTTTTGGCTGATAACCTGATTTATCAAGCAAAATTTTCTTGTGCTTAAGCAAATTTAGTGCTTAAGCACCTCTATGAAATTGGTCCTGCTGTAATACACTGGTCACGCTAGTTGGGAGGGATAGGTAGAGATATATGTGCTCACCTTGAAAAGGGGAGTTGGGGTTGGGTTGGGAATAACAGGAAATATTCAAATCTTCACCACTTATTTCCTGATATCACAGACGAGAAAGTTTAGTCCAGTAGTGAGTCTGAAATCTTTGGCTAGTGTCTTGTTCATGGCAAGTTGCCATTTTTCTAAAACTGTATTTTTTCTCGTACAGAGTGCCGTAAATTTTTTTGTCACTGTTGAACAGAAAGAGCTGACGATGCTCTCTCCAGATTACTGACAGGATTAGGAGCTTGCTTTCACCAGTGTAGTGGCTCACTGACTGGGCTACTCTGCCTGATATGTGACAAAGGAGACCCCTCCCCAAAGGATCCCTAAGCTATATACCCTAGGTTATTGGACCTACTGCACCCCTTCTGAAAATCTGAAAGGAATTCGCCAGATTTCTACAAACACAGACACAAAAAAGAGGGTCCCTGGTTTGCTATATGCAGTGGTTGTTTGATTAGCTTACACGGGACAGTCCTACCCTAGGGATGATCGTGTGTTGCTGTGTCAAACAAGCGGGATAGTGGGGACGAGGTTAAACCTGTGTAGCCTATGGTAGCTAATTGAATGCACATGTAACCACTGCATTATACGCTGCCCGGTGTGCCCTGCCACCACCTGGAGTCCATGATTCACTGAGCATTTAAAACGCAGTTTCCCTTTGTATGTCCACGAAGCTTGGGTAGTTTGGTTTCGTTGTGGTAGTCTGTGCATAATCGGCATGAAAGCGAGCATGAAGTCAGTTTTTGGGACATCAGGTCAAGTATCCGTGCTGCATATCCACAAAAAGTTGAAGCATTTCAACCCACAGAAATTTCACTGGAAACACTTCATGATGTCAAATTCGCTTTGCTTCTGCATTTGCCTGAAGTACGAACAGACCTTATCAGCTTTGGCATATGCCATGCCATTTTTGCAGAATTCACAACCTGCTTGTTAGCCTGGAAGTGCTACTGCCAAATGAGGTACGTCTTCATTGGAACAAGTTTGATAAAAGAAAATGGATAACCAGCGGTTTTAGACTGCAACGTACACTCTATTCATTTACAAATAGTTCATAAAGTCTCAAAAGAACTGCAATTTTTAACTACTTGCAGCTGGGTGGTTTGAAAAATGCAGTGCACACATACACTGTACGGGCGATTTTCAAGATTTTCAGTTTTCAAAATTCTTCAAAATTTTATCACTTCATTTAGTGGACGTTTACCCCCATACAAATTACTGTCTGGTGGCCACTCTAGCCTGACAGACAAAATCTATTGACGCCTGAGTATTTCAGCCAGGCCTTCACCCTTGTAAAAAGAGCCCAGACTGTGCGGTGTTATATAATTTCCTTTTGTTCACGAGCCTGGCACAGTGCGCTGGTGGCCTCTTTTCAAAAGGGGCCAGATTAGCATACAGCGGTGCTGTGTGGCTCATCGCTGCGGTGGTGGAGCGCTTTTGTCCCCAGTGGTAATCCGCTCGCTCTAAATCCCCCAAACCACGGTATACTGTTTCAAAACAAGGCTGGATTATCTCCACTATTGAGAGTGAAAAAATGTCGGTAATGTGCACCAGCTCAGTCTTTTGTGCGAAGCACAGTCTTTTGATACAAGGCCCAGCTCTTTTGTGCCGGTTTCGGGCTCTCCGGCTATGTGCTTGAAAACGGGTCCCCGGCAGCAAGTGGTTAAACTAAGAGTTTTTGTAATTCTGTAACTGCCTCCATTCGTGAGTGTCAGAGCACTGGAATTTCACATTTTCAGCAAGCCATAGACAATGGCACATACTTCGTTCATACATTTCAGTGCTGCCTGCCACCAGCATGTATCCGAGTGAGAAGAAATGAGATTATGATGATAAAAGGCAAAATGGGCTCATTTTCCTCATGTGAAATCGTGCCAGTGCACGCCGTGTATCTACTGTATGTAGGAGACCTGCTAAATCATACATACCAAAAAAGTA